GTGGCTTATTGAAAATGCCCCATCCATAAGTAGACCATAATAAAGCCACAAGGAGCCGGAATTGAAGAAGCACAAATGAAGCCACCGGCACACATGAGACTACAACCAAAACAATTGCAGCCTCTTCCTCATCATATTTAAATCTCTTTCTGCCAAACACAAGAAAAACCGTGGTGGAAAAGGCAATCATCATACATATTATGGAGATCAACAAGGTGAAGAGGCCTATGATTAGTCTCCTGGGAAGAGCATATAGGAAATCTTCTTCTTTAAAGCGTGAAGTTAGGATGGACAAGAAGAGCAGGAGAGAAGTAATGGATGCAAAGAGAGATGCCCCATTTGAAATGTAAAAAGCTGGGAAAGGATTCATTCTGGAGAAGATTGGGGAGCCCTCTTCGTCTTCGTCTTCAACACTTTTGCCACGGGGAAGTGCAACTATTTTAGCAGTATTGTAGCCTTGGCTAAATATATTTGAAACGGGGAATGTAATGGTACCACTGTAGCCGTCGTCTGAATCGCCGTGACTGCCGCCTGGAACTGTAATTGCGGCGGCGAACATGACAGTAACAATGAGCGCCGCCACAATTGTGCATGAAGTTGCTGTGTCCTTCATCCATTTCTCTGCTCCCTCTTTTAAGGCCTTGTGCTCATCCGTGAACACCATCGCTGGTGTTTTATCATCTTTGTTCTTCAGTGATGAGAAATATGGTGGTGCAATCTTTTGCACTCCCTACAAATTAAAATGAATCAATCACATAAATGCTAATCCAGTCTAGTCTAATCCAATGTTGCAGAAGGCGTTAGCTAGGCGCTAGCCCAGGGAGCGCCAGGCAGCCGAGTAATCCGAGTATATCATCTATCTCTACTTTTCTCATTCAAAGGCTAGAAGTTGTTAGACTGTTATAATCCCCAAACTTGTCAACTGCATATGTTAGAGGGTTAGTTGAGTATATGGCTGGGAAAATTTAGAAGAGTAGTACTCGAGCAGAAAAAAAACCACTTCAGGTCGAGTTGAACGCCAACTTGGCCGAGTTGGGCACCGACTCGGTAGAGTTAGGCACTCAACTTAATTGGCCAAGTCGGTGCCTACTTGGCCAGTTAATCTGTGAGCCAACTAAAAGTCATTAGGGCTGAAATCGCCTCAATCTAGGGACACCTAGCGCCTAGGACAATTTTTACAACACACTGTTCTGATCTACACCTTCTCATGCTTACAATGTATGATTTACCAGTATAATATATTTTATATATTAAGGCCTTTATTAAGTAGTTTGGTTGAATCGAATGCTTAGAAGTTGTTGGTTTATCCAACTAACACTACAAAGCCTATATACAGTTCATGGTATTCACACTGTTCGTTCAAGAATAATCTCAAACACAACATCTAAAGTTCTGGGTAAGTGTGGAACAAAACGTCTAATCTTTCCCCTGCAGTTCTATTGTCTAGAGGCAACACAATTAAGATTATATCAATTTAGCTAGCAGAGATCTCTAATATTGCTTTCGCTCCTACTATACTACGAGGTTAGGTTTTTGGTAATAAGTTTTGTTAGATGTATTTATATCTAACATGACCGCAACATATGCAAGTGTTTAATTTGAGAATGGATGGATGGTTCAAAAGTAGTACCTTAAACCATTGCAACTCCCATTGCATTTGAAGAGCCGCAACAGAAACAAGATTTAGCTTGCATGGAGGTGCCAATTTCCCAGCCAAATGTAAAATGTTGTTTCCACTGTTGTCTCTTTCATCTACTAAATCATGCATGAGCACACTTGTTCGACCAGGACCACAAACAAGGTTAAAAACATTGATGCAACGGTTCTCCACTGCAATGTGAAGTATATTCCGACCACTTTTGTCTTGGTAATAAGCCGTCGTAGGATATGCTTCCACAATGTTTTGAACCACCTCTTCAATGTCCAAGTACGTTGCTTCAATTATTGCTTCTTTTGCAAGTGAGGCAACTTGTGTGCCATTTAGGATTTTGAGTTTATCGCACAAGCATTTAAGAAGCTCCACTGCTTGGTCGTGCTTCAACATTTTTTCTTGTACAATGATCTTCGGCAACAACGCTGAAAAACATATATATGAAATCATGGCAATTAAACAAACTTCATGGTATATATGTAGTATGTGTAGAGTCATAGCTTGATTTCATAACTTTTTAAAAAGTGTACACAAAAATCATAAAATAAGTAAGGTTTTGAGGAGTGGATAAATTAAAAGAAGAAAAAATTACAATGGATTGAATCTTGTATTGCTGGGTTTTCATACTTTAACTTTCTAATTTTAAAAGGTTTTTAAATATTTAGTTAGGTTGAGACAGAAACTTAACATCGGGGACCTAATAACAAGTCACTTTACTCAACTGAGGGATGGATAAAAAAACAGATATAGATAGTCATAATTGAGGGGTAAAAACAGATGTAATCATAACTGACAGATCTAATTAGTTGAAACTTGGGTATAATTCAAAAGATGCAAATTTTCCAAATATATAACCAAAAAATAACTATACTACTCACCATACTGTATTGAAGTTTGCCAATGCCATGGATTAGCTTTGTTGGAAATAGGATAATCGTATTTGACTATGGCCTCCAAAGGTGATATATCATTGTCTAGTGTCTGATGATGAAGAGTCAAATCAGGGTATTTATCAGCCAACTCCATTGCCTCCACTGAAAATTAATAAATGAATTGTAACACCTCAATATATAAATGCATTGGTATCTTAAATTAACTTCTTTTTTTTTGTCACACCACGAGATGTCATTAGCTGGCCCGATCAAACTGTAGGAGATATTTTTAAGCTCGTACTATACTCAGACTACTTTCCATTTGCACCGGGCCGCCCTAATTATAGGAAGCACTTTTAAGCGCGTACCATATTCAGACTACTCCCCATTTGCACCGGGCCGCCCTAAATGTATGAGGCACCTTTAAGCCCGTACCATACTCAGACTACTCCACGTTTGCATCGGGCCACCCTAATTGTAGGAGACACCTTTAAACCCGTACCACACCGGGCCGTGCCCTAACGGTAGGAGGCACTTTAAACCCGTACCATACTCAGACTACTCCATGTGCCTGATTAATTTTTTCATACGAGAGGGAGTCTAAACTTCGAACCTCTCTTTAAGGGACGAGAGTGCACGACCACTCACCCCAACCAAGCTGGTTATCTTAAAATTAACTTTAACACGTATAGAGAGTAAATTAAATACCATAGAATTTAGATTTGATTAAGTTAACAAGAATAGTGGCACCACTTGGGCCTTCATATGGATTAGCTTCCCCATCTTCATTATCCTTAGTGACCTCCAAGAAATACCGATACACTTCCACCTTGTTGAGAGTGTTCCGAGCTGCGTAATGGATGGGGAAAAGACCCTCTTTTGAGGTGTTATAGAGGAGACTGGAATTCCTCCGAACAAGAACTTCAGCCACCTCAAGGGAACCATAACGGGCAGCAAGGTGAAGTGGGGCTAGGCCCTTCCGGTTTCTGAGAAGAAGAGCTTCTTTATCATCATCTGCAGGCAACTTTTCTACAAGTTTCTCTGCAAAGGTTAAGGAAGCATGGCGGCGGGCAGCAACATGCAGTGCAGTGTCTAAGTTGTTGTTGAGAGGAACAACAACAATATTGTTATTATTATTGTCATGTTGGTTGAACAGTTTTTGAGCTTCATCCCAATTTCCTTGCACTGTAGCTCTGTACAATCCCAAATATTTGCCTTCTTCAACCACATAATAATTACCTGCTTCAAGATCATCATCTGCAGGCTAGGCTATCATCAGAATACATGCATATATACTGAAATTATATTAAAAAAAACAATAATCTATCTATATGTATATACCATGCATAGTATCATACCTTTGCCATGACAAGAGCTCGGATGAGCCATCGATTCAAATTTACTCGATCTCAACTTTGAAAACTTAATTGCAAGTTTGTATTGGGAAGCATAGAGACTGAGGATATATATATAGAGACTTAGCCTCAGGCTGGTTTGGTTCGGTTCGGTTTAGAACTATTGGTTCATGATTTATTATTGTCACAAATTATAACTCAATTATTGCTACTATACAGTTCCTAGGCGGTACATGAACTGCTGGTTAAATTAATTTTTTTTTAACACCTTCACTTTTATCCAGTTAGCCTTTTTCATCATATTTTGCCTTGGTGACCCTTTTCGCCATGGCCTGACATGATGGTTGATGGGTATATTGAGAGAACTCATCGATTTTTTAAGTTGGAGGACCAATGTTGGGTCCTTATAAAAAGCCCACCACATTGAGTGTAATTCTCACTCTGACTGTGAGGTCCCAATCTTACGCTTGCCCCATGCATACATTAAAACCATAATCTTAGTTCTTCACCTTTAAACCTTATCCATAAGGTTTGTACAGTTATGGTACAAAATTGATTTGCAATATAATAGTTCAGTTTTGATCCTTCAATTAAAACCAATCCGTGACCAAGTCTATACATAGGAGACACATGAATTATTAAAGCACATGTATATACTCGGTAGTCAGTACTTTATAAGTGTACTGTGTCTTCCACATACAAAAGTAGAAAACAACAAACCAGAAACGAAAAATTGACATGTTCCACAAAAAAAAAAAAAAAAAAAAAAAAAAAAAAAAAAAAAAAAAAAGTAGGGGACAGGGTGCAGTGGAGGACTTGGGGGAAGACTAAAAGATGAACATTACCCACCTCTATATTTCTTTGTCAATTTTTTTTTAAAAACTTTTTCTAATATCATCTTCTCATTTTTAAAGTTGTGTCTATTTGTTTGATGATATTTTTAATGTAATTTTAAAATATGTACATTTTGCACATTAATATTGGATTAAATATTATATAAAATTGAATGGTACATAAATTAAAAGGAAACAGTTTTCAAAAAAAAAAAAAAAAATTAAAAGGAAACGGTACTTTTAGCCTTTGAAGTATTTTTCTTTTAAAAATTTAGTCCATGTAAATTAATTTAAACAAAGTTAAACCCCTTAATTATTCATAATGTTACACTTTTAGTACCTAGTACTATATAATTGTTAAACTATTTTAACATATGAAATTATTTTTATCATTTAAAATCAATATTCACTATTAAATTAAAAATGACGTCCATACATGGAGAAATTAAAATTTTAATAATGAATATTGTTCTAAGTGACAAAAATAAACTCATAAAAAAGAGTTTGTAAACGGATCAGACTTTGATAATCATATAACACCATGAATTAAAAATGCAACATACATAATCAATATTAAGGGACTAAATCTATTTAAATTAATAATAAAATATCAAAGTGAAATAATTTAGGGAAATGTTGTTTTTCCTAAATTAAATAAAGAGTTGCTATTCATGAAATGAAACATCAGCTGGAAGATAACCCCTCAATGCATGATGTGCTGCAGCCTGGCAAGAGAAAAAAGTGAAGAAAAAGGAAAAGCGATAAGGTGAAAGGACCCCAATAAACAAAAAAAGAAGAGTTCATCATTCAATAATTCAAGATTATTCTTTCCAAAATAATTCAAGATTATTATATTACTAATTACTTCCTTCTAATTTTATCTGTATTACTTTCTTTTTTAATTTGTCTCAAAATAATATTATCTTTTTAAAATTAACATAACTATCATTCATTCATTCTACATTCTCTAATTTATCTTCTTCTTTTTCTTTTTTTTTTTTTTGACTTTTTCAAAATTCTAAACTATGAAGTAAGTATAAATATACTTTGTATAAATGACACCTACTTGTGACGGACAAAATTAAAAAGTTAATAACATTTGTTTTGTTACATTAAAAATCGTAAAAAAAAAAAAAAGAAAAAAAAAAAAAAAAAAAAAAAAAAAAACGTGACAACAATTAGGGACTTAGGGATGGAGTAATTATTATCATATCATCTCTTCAACATTGATATTTTCAAGTGGGAGACGAAGGCACACTGTTCGTGATGATGTCATGGACGATGACGACGAAGGCTCGGCCGTCACATCCATTGGAAAGGTGATGGTCATGGTCGTTGATAGAGAAACAAACCTTTTTTTATTTACTCAATTGTTGTATCTGTAATAGTACATGAAATAAATTTATTAATTTTATAATATAAAGACAAATTTTAATATTTTAAAATAATATATAAAGAACGATATATATAAACAATCAAATAAGAAACATGTGGATGGACTGATGGAGAGAATTGATCTAGATGACCGACAATAGCAAGAAATTGAGCATTATAAAAATTCAAAAATTTGTTGAAGATAAAATTTGTAGATAAAGTAATAAAATTTGTGTGTGTTTAATTTATAAGTAAATCCATACGTACCATTCTACTTCTTTGTTCTACGGTCTGCCACGGGTTCTTGCCTTTTACTTCAATGTCTTGTATTTTTTTCAAGATTAATCTCTTTTCATACTTGTTTGCATCATTACTCGATATTTTCTTCCTTCAATAAAAAATACACCAAATTAAGAATTGTTCCACCTTCCTTTACATAACATTTAAGCAAAAAACAAGCATATATAAAGCACAAATAATATAAGCTATTTCATGGCTTATCACAATCATTCTTAACAAAAATCTACATCCCTAATTGGTTTCTACAAGTTATAAGTTTATTTCCAATAAGTTCACCAACAAATTGCATAATAATAACAATAACAATAACAATAATATTATTAATATTAATAATTCCATAAAGACATCGTCATCTCAGCAAGTGAACCCCTTTCAAGATGATAATTGAAGGTAATGTAGATTTTTTTTTTGTTTTTTTTGTTTTTTTTGTTTTTTTTTTTGTTTTATTTTATTAGCTTATGTGACTTGTAAACTTGCTATAATAGCAAGTTTGCAATTGACTTTTATTTCCTTTTTTTATTTTTTATTTTATTATCTTTATTATTATATTTATAATATAAAATGCAAGTTGGATAACTTTTGAAAGTGAGAGAGTATTGTAGGATGTAGAAAAAATAGTAAAAAATATACAAATTTAATGATGTGAAAGTGAATCTACTTTTGAAAGTGTGAGAATATTATAAGAATAAGAATTATCCTTACAATAAAGTCTAGAGTTTGTCACTTAATTATCAAGCAATTATGAGTGGCAGGCAAGTCAAAATAACATTTGGGGAATGTCACACTTATTGAAAATGCCAGGCCCATAAGTAGATGATATCAAAGCTGCAAGCAGTGGGAATTGAAGAAGCACAAATGAAGTGACTGGGAAACATGCTAGTGCGACCACTATAATAAGAACCCACGATTTGTTACGACCAAATACCAGATAAACTGTGGCGGAGAAGGCAATCATCATAAATATTATGGAGAAAAACAAGGTGAAGAGGCCTATGATTAATCTCTTGGGAAGAGCATATAGGAAGTCTTGTTCTGCATAGCGCGAAGTTAGGATGGACAAGAAGACGAGCAAGGAAGTAGCTGATGTGAAGAGAGATGCAGCATCTGAGATGGCGAATACTGTGAAAGCAGTGTGGTTGGAGAAGATAGGGATGCCATTTCCACCATTGTTGCCACCAGGAACTGTTATGGCAGCTGCAAAGACGACAGTAACAATGAGGGCTGCTGCAATTGTGCATGAAGTTGCTGTCTCTTTCATCCATTTCTCCCCTCTCTCTTTTAAGTCCTTATGTTCCTCCGTAAAGACCATACTCGGAGTTTTGCCATCTCTATTTCGAAATGACAGGAATATTGATGGTGAGATCTGCTGCACTTCCTACATATATATATATGGAATGAAATGAATCATATATATATATATAATCAAATGAGTATAACCCTTCCCATGAGTTCATGTGGACAGATTTGATCCATTAAAAATGAGAGATCAATGGTAAGATCTGGTCATTATCAATTGTGCAACTGCAGTTACACATAGCACAATTGCACATTTGATAATAAACCAGATCTGACCATAGATCTATAACTTTTAATGGACCAGATCTATCCGTTTTTTGTCAGCAACCCCAACCTAATTAACTGGACAAACTACGGGTTGATTTAGTAACTACAATATTACAAGTTTGACTCCTAACAATGAGAGTGGCCTGTAGCTTTCGACTAGTTTACCTTATGCTTTTTTGCTAGCAAGAGTTTACTGCATCAACTAAAAAAAATGAAAGGGTTGGGGAAAACATATAAGGGGTATATCAACACGTAGATTATGACCTACATATATACCTCAAACCATTGCAGCTCTCGTTGCATTTGAAGAGCTGCACCAGAAACAAGATTGAGTTTGTGGGGAGGTGCCAATTTCCCAGCCAAATGCAGAATGCTATTTTGATTGTTGGCTATATTACACTCCACTAAAATATCCATAAGTGTAGTGGTTCCACAAACAAGGTTAAACACATTTTCGCTGCGGTTCCTGACTGCAGCCATAAGTATATTCTCTCCTCTTTGGTTCACCAAATAAGCCATCCTGGGATATGCTTCCACAATATTTAGAACAACATCACCAATGTCTAAACTTGTCGCTAGAAATATTGCATCCAATGCCAGTGAGCACACCTGCGTTTCGTCTAGGGTTTTGAGTTGATCGCACAAGCACTTAAGAAGCTTCAGTGCTTCTTGGTGCATCACCATTTTGTTTACAACGACACTCTTCAACATACATACTACATACCTCTTGGAAACACCTGCATGCATGCAATAACATACATTTCGTACGTTTTTATGAAGTAATTTAAAAGAAAAACCTTAATTAAACATGGATTAAAGTCCGGCAAACCTTAATTAAACATGAAAACTCAATTAAGCCGCTAAACTTTTTAAAGTTACAATTAAACTCATAAACAAAATATTTTAGTGCATTGAAGTCTATAAACCTATTTATGACCTATAATACCAGGTCATTAGGGTTCCGGTCCTCCGACCAACTCCCACGACTTTCCAACCAAATTTCGGCGTAAAACGACCAAATTCCGGTGAACCAGCGAGAAGGCGACGATGAGAAGGAGACCACACCTTTTTCTCCGAGTGAAGGGGTCGCCTTCCCGACAGAGCAGACGGCGAAAATTTGGTCGCCTTCTGTTCCGCCGGAAAAGGCGACCATATGGTCTCCTTCTCTGGCGGACCAGAAGGCGATCATTCTCTGGCAGACCTGAAGACGACCAAATTTGGTTGCCTTCAGGTCTGCCGGAGAAGAAGGAAAAAAAAAAAAAAGATGGTCACATTTTGGTCAGCCGGAGAAGGCGGCAAAAAATGGTCGCCTTCTGGTTTGCCGGATAAGGCAACCCCTTTTCCTGGAGAAGAATGCCGGACTGGTCTCCTTCTGGTTGTCGCCTTCTTGCTGGTTCACCGAAGTTTGATCGAAAAGTCGCTAGAGTTGGTTTGAGGGCCACCGAAATCCTAATGGCCTGCTATAGATTGTAGGTCACAAACTGGTTTATAGACATCAATGTTTTACAATGGTTTGTTTGTGGGTTTAATTACAACTTTAAAAAGTTTATGAGCTTAATTGACTTTTCGAGTAAAATTTAGGGGCTTATTTAACCATTTCCTAAAAATATATAAAGGAAAAGAAAGGAAAGTTACTCACAATAGTATATGAAACTTTGGCAATGGCTTAGAGTGCGTGTGTTAATAATAGGACAGTCGTATCTAAGTATGGCACCCAAAGCAGTTATTTCCCAATTCAATATCTTATGGCGGCCCAGATCAGGGTACATTTTAACCAGCATCAAACCCACATCTGTATTTCAATTCATTTTGTTCAATATACATACATATATTAAATAAGATAAGTTAAAAGGTGGCCTGAGGGTACGTACCATAGAATTTCAATTCAATTAAGTTAGCAAGAATAGCCGCACCAGTTGAGCCTGCATATGGATTAGGGTGGCCGTTTTCATCAGCCTTAGTGAGACTGAAGAAATAGAGAAAGGCGTCTTTGCTTTTGCGACGATTCCGAGCTGCATAATGGATGGGGAATAAACCATGGTTGTTGTGAAGATAGAGGAGATTAGAATTCCTCCGAACAAGGATATCCGCCACTTCAACGTTTCCCTGCGAGGCAGCGACGTGAAGTGGGGTTTTGCCAGAGACGTCTTTGAGGCCAATCAGCGGTTCATCATCTCCCAACATTGCTACAAGCTTTTCCATAAAGGAGGCATTACCAGCTTTAGCAGCAACATGAAATGCAGTTTCTAAGTCATGGTGGAGAGGAGATTGGATTGCTGTGGGGTCTTGGTTGAAGAAGATTTGAGCTTCCTCCCAATTTGCTGCCAATATAGCTTTGTATAGTGGAAGGTATTTGCTGAAATCTACTGCAATATCATATATATCATCATCATTGTTAGGATCAAATGAAATGTTACGTTATAACTCCACTGCTGGAAATTATGAAATTTTCGACCACCTGAAAGTGATCTTATATCAAGTCGAAAGTAAAAAGTGGTCGGAAATAGCAACAAAGGTGATACTGCTAATTCTACGTAAGCAATATAAAATAACACGAGACCAATTAAAGCAAGCAAAATCTTTATTGATCCCGGTAAAGGCCCTAAGTACAATCTACTTGGCTGCTCTGAGTACCGACTGAGTGCGGTCGGGAGTCTCTAATAACAACCTATCGATCGTCCAAAAGTCCCTTACACTGTAGCTACTGTGGGTATTTATAGCTGCTAGGCCGGGGACAGGATTCCAGCCGTTCAGCATGTCCTCCACGTAGCCACCACGTGTCATCCTCCCGGGTGCCCTGCCTGTCGATGTAAAGAGCCGCCACGTGTCCTTCGTCAGCTCTTTCGCCCAAGGGCTACCGCTCGGTGGTCGACACCGTCGCTCGGGCAACTCCGGTCGGGCTACGACCGGGTTCTTCTCGTGGAGCCCGACCTGTTACCTGCAAAGACAAGGAGAAAGAGACAAAGACTCCTCGGTCGTGGTGAAGCTATGTCGGTCGGGATATTCCCTACCAAAAGGTTTTTCCGGATACCAAAAGTGATCGGAACAAGACTTTCGACTTGATTTAAAATAATTTTCAGGTGGTCGGAAATTTCATAATTTCCAGCAGTGCTCGTAGTAAACACCAAACTTTATTTCTTTATATATACTATACTACATTTTTGAGAAGCATGGCTACGTTTCTAGCAGATTTAGCCTTTCAGATCTCCATCTAACATCCAATCTCTCTAATAATTAATCACCTGGTGTTAGACTTAACCCTTCTGCGTCCATTGACCTTCACTCAACAAATTCCTAGCGACCTGATGCTGGACATGACCTTTCAATACCATTGCTCTACCCAACAATCATCATAATATATATCTGGCCAGGGAAGCTACCTAGCTAGAAGTAATTAATTAAATTAAACCACTCTACCTGGGCGGGGACGAGGAAGGGCATTGCAAGAAGCTGCCATTATTCTATATATGATGAAAATTATATTGACGGCAAGCTATGTTTTATAGAGTTTCAAAATAATGAATCGGATTATTATTTATATATAGCAGTCTGGCCGGCAGCTAGCTACCACTGCACGTACTTTAGAAGCTAATTTAACAACCGCCTTAGCTTATTTGTTATGCTAGTCACTACTATACCCATGCATCCAATCAAAGCTAAGATAAGCTAGCTTTTCTTTCATCGATTTTAGCTTTTATATCAATAAGCAAAGAATCACATGCACTTTCTCCCTGCTTTAATTAATCATAGACTAGTTAATGTTCTAATTGCTACATTATTAGTGTAATACAATGTTACTCCGTATATATACATATATGCATGCACTTCATCATGGTCATAGGACAAGCTAATAAGTAGCTTATTTGTTAAACTTGGTATCATATTCAAAGCTTTAATTGGTCTCTTTAACATCACCAACAACCAAAGTAAAGAAGTATGCAGAATATACAAAAAAAAAAAAAAAACCAGGCCAAATTAATTAACATTTTGTAACTCCAAAATGCAAAAATTCAAAAAAGTTGCTCAAAATAACTTTTTCAATTGACTTTTTGAGAAAAAATTTTATACCAAACAGCTATCAGCTAATAGCTAATTTACCAAACACCTTTCTATAATCAGCTAATGTTATCAACTAGTTATACCTAACCTCTAATTAACCCAATTAACTAGTAATGGATATCAAAATCTATAATAGGGTGCAAAAGTCTCCAACCAAGCATACCCTCCAATTCGCTTGTCGTTGTCAAAAAATAAAGTACAACACGAAGATAGATGTAGAATCTCATTATGAAATATGACAGGATCGGAGCATTTTCTTTTTGGCAAGATTTTGAAACTCGCATTAGTTATAGCTTATGTGAAATGTTGTTGTAAGTTGTAATCGATAGATACTATATATATACATGTACCTTATATTTGACGACGCCATCTAGCTTTAAAATTGTTATTTAGGGTGCGTTTTGAAACCCGGAAAATAACTTCTGGAAAATATATTTTTCGAGTTTTCAGTGTTTGCCCAGACGGGGGAAAATGAAGCATTAGTCAAAGGAAAATATGTATGTTTTAGGGAAAAATGACTTCTCTTTTTTTTGGGGAAGTCATTTTCCAAAGAACGCACATGCAAAATTTTTCGAGTCTAATTTTTTGCGGGCTTTTGCGAGTCGGCCCACCACACCCGCAAGCTAGGGTTCATGCAACCGAATTCTGTCGCATGCGGGTTGGCGGGCCCCGTGGGCTTTTTTTTTTTTTTTTTTTTAATTCAAAGTTAAAAAAAAAAAGTAAAGTATACAAATAATATTAATATTTTCGTATTAAAAAATTAAAAAAAATACATTTTTTAAAATGTTGTATATATATATATATATATATATATATATATATATATATATATATATATATATATATATATATAGAGAGAGAGAGAGAGAGAGAGAGAGAGAGAGAGAGTTAATACCTCCAATGGTCCTCTGAGTATTAGCGATTTACCAGCTCTGGTCATCTGACTTTTAAATGATCTTCAATGGTCCTCCATGTTTTAAAAAATAACCACCCGTGGTTCTAATTCTTAAAAAAAAAACCGAGTTTAAAATGACCACGAGACGTCCTAAAAGGACCACGGGTGGTTATTTTTTAAAACATGTAGGACCATTGGAGGTCATTTAAAAGTCGGATGACCACAGTTGGTATATCGATAATATTCGGAGGACCACTAGAGGTATTTTATATATATATATATATATATATATATATATATATATATATATATATATATATATATATATATATATATATATATATATATATATACACACACACACACACACACACACACACACACACACACACACACACATATATATATATATATATATCAAAAGAGTGCTATTCACAAAAGAAATTTATCAAAAGTATCAAACAATTAAAATTTTGAAGTATTCATTTCTTCTCATTTTCTGGAAAATAAACCAAACACACAAAAGACAGTTTTCCGTTGTGTAGTCAAACACCAGAAAGGAAAATATTTTCTGAAAAATGACCCATTTTTCTGAAAACATTTTCCAGAAGTCATTTTCCTTCTTTTCAAACGGAACCTTAGTTTCGGTTTAAAAACTGGACACTTTAATCTCCTTGGTTGCAAGGGTTAGTGTTTGTGGTGGACGAGAACGTATGCTATGTACCAAATTCAAAGTAAAGCATATTAGATTTGCTTACTTTCTTGCTTTAATTTGTTTCAAGTCTTCAACATCAATAGGCAAAGAATCAGAATAATATCATTATATATTATGCATGTCTCACGCGAGCATGCACTTTATGGGACACAAGCTACATACTAAGCTAGCAAACAAAATGAACTTTGCCATACTTACATACCAGTTATGGGCATGCGAGGAGCTGCACTCTAATCTCTTCTTATTTGCCTTCTATCACATGACAGACATGAGGAGGGTTTTGGAGGACGGGCCTTCGTCGTTTGAGAATCACACTCTGGTATGTCGTCAGGTTTGCAAGGGTTTTCTGCCCGGGGAAGTTAAGCTGGATACCATAGACATGTGGATACAGGTTTATGATTTGCCCATGGGTTACACGTCCAATGTAATTCTTGAGCAAGTTGGCAATTTTGTTGGGAATTTTATTCGAATGGATGACCGGCAGGTGGGAGGGCCGTGGAAAACGTTCTATAGAGTCAGAGTTGCGGGTTCCGGTAGACAAACCATTGAAGCGGCGTATGAAATTGATTCGGAAGGACAAATCATGGGGATGGGTGAATCTAAAGTATGAGCGATTGCATAACTTCTGTTTTTGTTGTGGAATGCTACGGCACTTGGACAAATTTTGTGTGAAAGCCCGTGTCTCAAGCATCCCACCGGAGCTCTTCCCGTTTGGTGAATGGATACGGGCAGGTCAGCGTCGGGGGCAAGGCCAGTTGGGGAATCTTGGCTGTTATCGCCGGAAAGCCCCAAGCGTGGACAGAAGTCGCAACAATGTGCTAGCGAGGGTTCGGCCTCGTTGAACGGTGATCAGGGAGATGTTCACATGGTCTCGGCGCGGCAGGAATTAGAGGAGGGTGTGGTGGCATCGGCAAAGCGCCGTAGGCCGATTGTGGGGAGTGAAAGCCGAGATGGAACGTCGGCTGGGGGTGAAGCGGCTGTTAACAGTGTTCCAAAAAACTTGCATATGGCGGGTTCTGGTTCCCAGACCCACCCAACCCAATGAGTACGTTAAGTTGGAACTGTCGTGGCTTGAGCAATCCACGTAGAGTTTGCGAAATCATGGACATGGTGTCCAAGAAGAAGCCTGATTTTGTATTTCTTATGGAAACCAAGGTGGCACGGGTGCATAATGAGAATTTACGTGTCAAACTTGGATTTGAAGGTCTTTTCTATGTGGATAACGTCGGTCTGAGTGGGTGTTTGGCCGTACTATGGAGAAGGAATAATACTGCGAGGCTTATAAGTTTTTCAGGGAATCATATTGATGTGGAAGTTAGTATGTCTGGCTTTGATAGATGGAGAATGACGTGCTACTATGGCTATCCGCAACGTAACAGACGTGGTGCGGCATGGGAATTAATTAAATCATTCTCGTCACAATCTGAGCTACCATGGATGATGATTGGTGATTTTAATGATCTGTTATATCAGCGAGAAAAGAGAGGTGGTAATCGGCATCCGGATAACCTACTTCGTGGCTTCGGGGATGTTATCTCACAGTGTGTTTTGTCCAGTGTTGCAAAAATCGCGCCTAGGCGCTAGGAGGCCACCGCGAGGAATGGCCTCGGCGGCCGGCCGGCTAGGCGATATTTTTTTTTTGTTTTGTTTTTTTTTTTTTGAAAATGTCGAAAAAGTTTCGAAAGGCATAACTTTTGACTCGGTTGTCCGATTTCGAC